AACACAAATATTGGCCTGACAGAGCCATAAACACAATATTTAGTGTGGCCATAAATAGTGGAGCCAAACATAACACTGTCAACCTTGTACAGCTTATTCGGTCTGGACAGCTAACAGAGCACAGTATTTCTGTGCAGAGAGGTCATGTGTTTTGTTGTTTTATTGGAATGATACTAATAATGACAATACTACTCCAATACTGCTATTATACTACTATAACTGCTACTGCTATTACTCCTTAGACAGATAGACAGATAGATGGATGGATGGATGGATGGATGGATTAATGGACACACAGATAGACAGAGCCCATAAATGTATGGACAGTTATATGAACAGGTAAAGTCCATATATGGAAACTGTTTTGAACTGTTGTTTTGTGATGTCACGATTACCAGTGCATTTATATACCCACCTATTCAGCTTACAGCAGTTTAGCCCCACCCATTCACACTAAAATTATAAGGAGTGTTTCAGTCTGGAGGGCTTTTTGAATGAGGCAAATATAGGGCAGCCAATCATTACCAAGGTGATTTACATATATCAGACACAGTAACAAAAACAGCTTGTTTAATTCTAGGGGTTAAAGAGAGCTTGGAAAATAACTATTACATATAAATTATGACTATTTTGGTACACAAATCCATATGCTATAACATATAACACTTGTGAGGGCTTCTGCCCAAAAATAACTTAAAAGGGGACTTAAAAGGAGACAAAATAAAATATGTAAGAAATGTGTGCTTGAATTTAAGAATATATTTACATAGAAAATAACTTCAGAAATTCCTTAAAGAGCTTTAAAAAAGTGCACATGTATATTTTATACACGTATGTGTTTTGTGTTGCTCCCTATTTATGTGTTGCTGCCTATCTTGGCCAGGACACTCCTGTAAGAGAGATTTTTAATGTGAGATTTCTTTTTGGTTAAAATCTTAGATAATAGCATTACATCACTACAATAACTATAAAAATACTGAGGGAATTGTAGACTATTATTAAATCAATAAAGTGTCTGTGCTATACAGCTAATACCAATAAAACTACTACTAGTACTACTAATAAAATCTCTAATGAGAATGGTACCAATTAGCTTATTAACTAATTAACTCTCTTTTCTTTAAACCAGGCAGCAGATGTCCAGCAGATGTCCACAATGTTATCACATTATAAAACATTAAAGACTTGAAATTAAAAATACTGACTACAAATATAACATACATAACTACATACATGATATCGACAGAAGTATTGAGACCCCCCCTTCTAAATTTGAGTGCAGGTGTTTCAGCCACACCCATTGCTAATAGGTGGATAAAATTAAGCACACAGCCTTGCAGTCTCGATAGACAAACACCACTGCAAAGTGGGGACCAACTCCATATTAATGCCTATGGATTTAGAATGGGATGTCATAAAAGCTCCTGTAGGTGTACTGTGTCTCAATACTTTTGTCTATATAGTGTATATTTAAGGATCGCTGCCGTTGCAACAGCCGAATCCACTAATAAAAGAATATTCGAAATTCACAAACTGATTTTGTCTGAGACTAAAAAGAAAAAAAAAACTCAACACATACAACTGTTACAATGGAATCCACAGCATGGCAGTGTCTCTAGTTGCCAGCGAGTCTGTTTCGTTGTTCAACCTTAGATATATCAATCCTTTCTGGCTCAACATGGTCAAGAACCACCCACTTTGACAGGATGCATCAATCTGAGTGACATACAAAATGATCAGCTACAAACTTTGAAAGGCAAGGGACTGTGAAAGCAGTACTTAAACAAAAACAAAGTTCTATGCATGTCTGCAAACACGTCAGAATATCTTTGCTACCTGCTAACTGCCTTAAATAAGCTTCTATAGATGGGATGCCATGAACTTTACAAACCTTTTTCGATCAATTGATCATATCTTTTCATTAACTATTTAACAAAGACAAGGAAGTCCAGCTCTGTTTCTGTCAGAAATGGACAAATGTAAAGACATATAACGGCACATCTAGACAATATTAAAGACCTCAAATGAAAAGTAGTCCAGCGGCAATCACGTTAAACATGTTCGTAAAGTTCTCATGATGAAGTTTCATATGTTCTGGAGTGATGTTCACTGTATAATGTAAGTTGGGTACTCTCACTTGCTTTGGATGAAGTGTTTTTCCCATTTTTATCATTTCCAGAATGGACAAAGCCCTCTTGTCATTTATGCCCCTTCACATAATCCATTCCTCTGCCTCTGATTTCCCAGACCTGCTCTCAACCCTCTCACACGCAGCCATTTAAACTAATATCACATGAGTGTCCTGTCTGATCCCACTATGTCCACTTAGACCCAAATTCAACTTTGGGTTGGGGGTGGGGGGGTGGACAGAGAGAGAGACAGAGAGAGACACAGAGAAAGAGAGAGAGAGAGAGAGAGAGAGAGATGTACAGCAGGGATACCCACTCAAGGTTAATGACACTGGAACCACCTGAACAGGCAGAAAAAAGACTAACAGCTCATCTAGTACGTGCATTTGTGCAGGGGGAGCGCTGAGAGAGAGAGAAAGAGAGAGAGAGGAGGTGCTCTCTCCTATTCACTCTCCCAAATGTGTAAGAATCCCTGTGCTTGCCAGGCTCCTGCTGCTAATGCAATCTCACAGCTCTGTTAATGGAGCACTTCTCAAGAGCCATCTATGTCCTCCGTTCATTCACAGAGAGAGAGAGAGATAGAGGGGGGGCATGTTAGCAAAAGTGTCAAAAAGAGGGGAGAAAGAGAGAGAGAGAGGGCGAAGAAGAGACAGAGACAGAGAAAGAGAACAAGAGAGAGGAAAAAGAGCAAGAGGAAAACATGCCAGCAAAACACTAAGTGAGTAAAAGAGAGAGATAGAGAGAGAGAAAGGGAGGGAGGGACAGAGAAGGGGGAGAAGAGAAAGAGAGGGGGAGAGAGAAAGAGAGGGGGGCATATTAGAAAAAGAGTCAAAGAGAGAGAGAGAAAGGAAGGGAGAAGAGGCAGAGAGAGAGACAAACAGAAGGTGAGAGAATGAAGGGGGATGTTAGCAAAAGAGAGAGTGCAGATGAGTGAGAGTGAGAGAGAAACAGACAGGGAGAGAGGAAGGAAGGAAAAAGAGCAAGTGGACAGCATGTTAGCAAAACACTAAGTGAGAGAGAGAGAGAAAGAAAGAAAGGGAGAGGGAGCAAAGGAGACAGAAAAAGAGAGCATGATGGCAAATAAGAGAAAAAAGAGAAAGAGCAAAGGAGAGGAAGAGAGGTAATGTTAGCATGAGAGTGAGAGGGAGAGAAAAAGAAAGAGGGAGCAAGAATGCATGTTAATAAAAAGAGTGAAAGATAGAGAGGGAGAGAGGGGGGACAGAGGGTGAGAGAGTGTGAAAGAGCAAAAGAGCAAAAGAGAAAGAGCAAGTGGAAAACTAAGACTAAGAAGAGATGAAAGAAAGAGAGGGAGCAAAAGAGAAAATAGAGAAAGAGAGCAAAGGAGGAGAGCAAGAGAGGAAATATAAGCATGAGAGTGAGAGGGAGAGAAAAAGAAAGGGAGCAAGACAGCATGTTAGTAAAAGAGAGAGAGAGATATAAAGAAAGAGAGGGGAGGAACAGAGGGTGAGAGTATGAAAGAGAGCAAGAGAGAGAGAAAGCAAAGGAGCAAAGGAGATAGAGCAAGTGGAAAACATTATCAAATGACTAAGTAAGAGAAAAAATGAGAAGGAGCAAAAGAAAGAGAGAAGTGGCAAAGGAAAGAAAACAGAGAAAGAGAGCAGAAAAAGTGCAAGAGAGGGCATGTAAGCATGAGAGTGAGAGGGAGAGAAAAAGAAAGAGGGAGCGAGAGAGCATGTTAGTAAAAGAGATAGAGAGCAGAGGATATGAGAAGAGAGTGAGGGGGAGAGTTGCAAAAGAATGAAACAGAGAGAGAAGAGAGAGAGAGAGGGAAGTAACAAGAGGGAAGAAGGTGGGAAAGTGTAAAAGAGAGCAAAAGAGAGAGAGAGAGAGAAAAGGAGCAAAGGAGAAAGAGAAAGTGGAAAATCAAATGACTCAGTAAGAGAGAAAGAGAGAACATAGTGGCAAAAGAGAGAAGGTGCCAAAGGAGAGCATGAGAGGGCATATTAGTAAGAGAATGTGAGAGGGAGCGAGAGAGCATGCTAATAAAAGAGAGCCAGACTGAGAGAGAGAGAGAGAGAGAGAAAGAGAAGAAGACAGGTATGATTTTGCATGTAAAGATGAAGTAAATAACAAGTGAGGGCAGAACAACACACACCCAAGCGCACACTTCTGAGGACTCGTCTCAGCCCTCTCCCACAACTTCAAGAGCTCCTGGCTCCCATCTGGAGGAACCCGCTTCGGCAATTAGGGACGCCTCATCGTCTTGAGGTTAATTAAATCTCCTCGAATGCCAAAACGAGAGGAATGACTACACTACCCAGAGATCAGTGAGGCAGAGGCTGCGTGTTCTGTTTGCGAGAGCGTGTAATTTCCTGTGGCGAGAGGATAATGCATGACCCTCACCCAGCTCTAAAGCACCACTGATGACTCGTGTGAATACCTCTCCAAAGGGTTCCACCATGATATTGGCATAGCTTCGACTGCAATTTAAAAGACAAAAGAGTCACCACTTAGTATGCACAACATCCTTCGGTGCCATTTACAAACGTACAGGGCCAATTACGGCACGAGCGCCAGCTCATTCCACCGGCAAGGCTGAGTTTAGACATATCACGCCAATTCCAGTGGTGAAATTATGCCTCAGTAGTAGGTGATAATGCACAGGAGGAAAAAATAAAACACTAAAAAGGCACTGAATCCATCTTCAAGAATATCTGCTAAGTGCTAAGACCATGATTTACCCTGTATTAAACAATAAGTACTTTTTAACAATGTTCATCCACAACCTAAATGCCAAACGCAGCAACTAGTTAGGAGCAAACTGTCTATCATTAGGAAGCCATTAGAGGGATGTTATGTAAATGGCATTCGACCCCCGAGAGCGAGGAACGAGTGAACTGAGGGTCTTACCGTTATCTGTGGCCATGAAGACTGCGCTGTAGTGGTTGTTATGGACATGGGGAGATTCACGGTCCAACGTGGCTGTGGTGTTGACCATGCCTCTGACCGGGTTTACACTTAGCCAGCCCGCTGGGTCTCGCAGCACTGCAAACCTGAAAAGGAGAGCGCAAGAGAAGAGAGGATTTACACATGATCACACACACAGCAGGCCCAAGGCCTTTTCAAAGCTCACACAGATCAATATTACCTTTAAAGCTCTCCCTAGACTTTAAGCAACTGGTCAAAAATTTAAAATTTTTCTTTTATTTTTCTTTTATTTTTTTTTGAACATCACCCACGTGTTTAGTGTCCATAGTTTTGTTTTAGTTTTGCAACAAGGCTAATGTAGCTAACAATTACTAATAAGCTCATAGTGACTGTTTAGCCTGCAATTATCACGCATAGGCATTTTTGGGGGGCAAGGGCTCAAGAAAAAAAGCTGCACTATGTAAGACTTCTTTGTTAAAATTGAAAGAAACAGTATTACTGAATCAGGTAAAAAAAAAGGCTAAAATATGGCATGTGCTGCTGCAAGTCACTCTGTAAAGCCTGAAATACTTATTCAAAAGTCAGAAGTGTTGGGTTGGGTTTTTTGAGAATTTTTTGGACCACGTCATACATCTTTATATATTAACGTATCAAAAATAAGACCAGCCTTGATGTTTCGGGCTTAAATGAACATTCTACTGATGAAGATATAATGACGACAGCAGATAATTCACTTTCATCCTCAGAAGACACGTCCTTCACCTTCCTTCTTTAAATACTTTTTCAATGTGCTCACAAATGTCAGATTAACCCACCTGGGGTTAATGCTCTTCTGCATGTTGCATGCAATTTCGTATTTCTACCAGAGGTCTCCAAATCCCCAAATCATACATAGTGTAGCTTATTTTACAGCATATTGCAAACATGCTTATCAAGAAAGGCAGTGCAATCATGTTTCAGAGAAAACCACACATAGTGATTCCTCAAGGCAGCCAAAAATACCAGCTTTACTGCTCAAACAGGGACTTGAACCCTAATTTCTAGCATATAGGACTGTAATTCTACCCACTACGCTTTCCAACTACTATGAACTGTGGAGTTGTAACTATAAGCAAATTATAAGCGCTACATACTACCATCTGCTACATACTACCATCGGTCAGAGATTCTGAGGGGAAACCTCCACGGTCAGTGGTACTGCACCAGAGCAAAGCAATGAAGTTTGTGAAACCTGAGCCGACCCTCTAGCTCTATTCTACTGTGTTTTGCTAAATGATTCGATGCCCGTTTGAGGTTTTATTAAGTTACAATTAAAATTACAAATAACATTCACAGAATTCTCAATCAATCTTTCTCATGATGCAGTATTTCTTTTAGTTAACACAGCTAACTTTAAGCCTAGTTTAACCCTGTTGGCAATGGCTACAATGTCACTTTAATAAGTGCTTTAATCTCTGCATATTTAGGTAGTATGATTTCTTTTTCTTCCTTTGGTGACGTCATGTTTCACATGATTTGCTGTTTGCCATAAACATGATACTTAAATGTGCAAGTGCACAAGGATTAACCAAAGCCTGAGTAGGTAAACCTGGATTAACAGAGAAAGTTGCTAACTGCTGTTATAAAACAAGTTAACCGTGTCTGTGTTTGTTAGGTTAGTTAACCCTGCTTTGTTAGACAGACCCCAGATCGTTTATTTCTGGTAGTCTAACTATAACACAAAACAAATGCCATAACGCCTTGAAAAACAAAATATATATAAGTTTTCTTATCTCTTGTTCTTTTCCCATTTTCTGCATAATTAAACCTATTTTTATTTCCACTCACTTGACCATCTTAGACACATAATGGTACAATAATGACACAGAAGTTGTCAGGGGGCCCCCTGGTAGCTGCAGGGCCCTATGCAGTTACTTTCATCAGTTATGACTAAGCACTCTGAGGGCTGGAGGGCAGAGGCCTATCTGTGTGTGTGCCTGCTGAAATAAACGTGATTATGTGGTGTTTAATGTGAAAAACTGGAGAAAAATATGTTGTCTAGCAAAAACTAGTAGCCAGGGTTATTTTGAAGCCTCAAGTTTGTCTGTAGTTTTGTCAATGTGTCTGTGCAAGTGTCATAAACCACATCTACTTAAGTCTACTAGAGATTATGTAACAGCTTGACACAGTTTGAGGCATGTGTGTGATGATTTTAGGTATATGCATGCGTTCCACAATGCTAAACCGGTCTCTCGGGTTATAAGGTTCCATTTCTTGCTAGCTGCATTAGCATCACAGATCCATTGGAGAAGCAAACTTCAGACACCAAGCATACAGATCAGCAAACACTGCATCTGAGGTAAGGGGAAGATTATGAAAATTAGATTTTTCACCAAACTAGCATTTTAAAACTGACTGTGCATCTTGCACGCTTTACACATAGTGTTTACACATAATCTCTCTGCTTTTTATATTAATATCATGTTAAAAACAAGAGAATGCAATGGCTGGGTGAGGAATGATGAGTGCGAGTGATGTTGCTTAGTCTCTGTGTGCACTGTAGCATTCAGGCTAAAACCCTGGTGTTACTCTTCCACAGATGAAGCGGAGGACGAGGGCGTGTGGATTGATGCGGACGCTGGGTGTTTAGAAGCCCATGTGATAAACGACTTGTGGAAAAGCCTTCAGGAGTAATGAGCTATTTAACAGTCGATGATATCTCAGGCATGACCTCTAGCACACTGCTGAAGTGTATGTGTATGTGTGTGTGGTGGCGCTTGGATTCTCATCTGGGCTCGTGTCAGTGGTTTCTGATTTACAGGGTCATTCAGAGACAAACGCACAAAAGGAAATGTGGCGCACTCTACTTCTATCGCTCTCAGCAAACCCAATGAGACTCTTTCATAGTGAGAGACAGATGGCCAGCTTCAGCTTTCAAAAGCTTCATTCAGCGCAAATATACAGCCTTAAAGTTCCCATATCCAACATTTTTCTTGTATTTTATTTTATTCCCTGAGGAAAAACATATGACGTTCTGTGTGTTTATGGACCAAAAACAGTCGTACTTCATTTTTACATGACTTCACTTTATCCCTTTAGAATTAGAACAGAGAACAGGCTTAGAACAGGCTGCTTTTGTTGCTGTGCCTTTGAAAACTGATACATGTAAATGACTTATGTTCTGATTGGCTGCCTTTAGTACAACCTCCTGAAGCACCTTTTCAGTACAACCTATTCTACTGCCAATGTGTGTCTGTGGAGATAGCATGGTTGTGTGCTGGAATTTATACACCTGTTAGCAATGGGTGTGGCTGAAACACCTGTCCATAGTACTGTAAAATTTCATCATCATCATCATCATCATCGTTAACCGCTTAGTCCAGATAGGGTCGCGGTAGCAGTTGGGAGAGCAGAGAATCCCAGGTGACCCTGTCCCCCGCAACTTCCTCCAGCTCATTCCCGGGGACCCCAAGCCGCTCCCAGGCCAACTTGGAGATATAATCCCTCCAGCGGGTCCTAGGACGACCCCGGGGTCTTATTCCGGTAGGCCGTGCCTGGTACACCCCCACCGGGAGGCGTCCCGGGGGCATCCGGATCAGATGCCCGAACCACCTCAGCTGGCTCCTCTCAATGCGGAGGAGTAGCGGCTCTACTCCGAGCTCCTCCCGGATGGCCGAGCTCCTCACCCTATCAAATAGAGTGTAGCCCGCCACCCTGCGAAGAAAGCTCATTTCTGCCGCTTGTATTCGCGATCTCATTCTTTCGGTCATTACCCACAGCTCATGACCATAGGTGAGGGTCGGGATGTAGACCGATCGGTAAACAGAGAGCTTCGCCTTACGGCTCAGCTCCCTCTTCACCACTACAGTCCGGTACAGCGACCGCATTACTGCTGCCGCTTGTCCCAGCCTGCGGTCGATCTCACGATCCTTCTTCCCATCACTCGTGAACAAGACCCCGAGATACTTAAACTCCTCCACCTGGGGCAAGTCCTTTCCCCCTACCTGGAGTGGGCATACCATCCTTTTTCGGGCTAAGACCACGGACTCAGACTTGGAGGTGCTGATCCGCATACCAACCGCTTCACACTCAGCTGCAAACCGCTCCAGTGTGCGCTGGAGGCATCCATGTGATCCAGCCAAAAGAACAACATCATCTGCAAATAGCAGAGACGCCACCCTCCGGCCTCCACACATAATGCCCTCCTGACCCCGGCTACGCCTTGACACCCTGTCCATGAATATCACAAACAGGAGTGGAGACAGGGCACAACCCTGGCGGAGTCCAACGCTAACACTGAAAGAGTCCGACTTAATGTCGAGTATACGAACACAGCTCTCACTCCGGGCGTACAGAGATTGAATGGCCCGGAGTAGTAACCCCGGCACCCCATACTCCCGGAGGACCTCCCACAAGATATCTCGGGGAACGCGGTCGTAAGCCTTCTCCAAATCCACAAAACACATGTAGACTGGGTTGGCAAACTCCCATGCCCCCTCAACAATCCGTGAGAGGGTGAAAAGCTGGTCCATTGTTCCACGGCCGGGACGGAATCCGCATTGTTCCTCCTCAATCTGAGGTTCAACTATCGGCCGAAGTCTCCTTTCCAGCACCTTGGCATAGACTTTCCCAGGGAGGCTGAGCAGTGTGATACCCCGATAGTTGGCACACACCCTCCGGTCCCCTTTCTTGAAAATAGGGACCACCACCCCGGTCTGCCAGTCCAAGGGTACTGTTCCCGAGGTCCATGCACTATTGCAGAGGCGTGTCAGCCACGACAGCCCCACAATATCCAGAGCCTTAAGCATCTCCGGACGAATCTCATCCACCCCCGGTGCCTTGCCACTGAAGAGCTTGCCAACTACCTCAGTGACCTCCACCAGGGAAATGGAGCTTGACACGCCAGAGGCCTCTGGCCCTGACTCCCGTGAGGGAGGCATGTCACCCGGATTAAGGAGTTCCTCAAAGTGCTCTTTCCACCGACCGACAATATCCTCATTTGAAGCCAGAGTTTCTCCACCCCTGCTGAATACAGCCTGGGCGCAGTCACCCCGACCACTCCTGAGTCGCCGGACAGTTGTCCAGAACCTCCTCGAGGCCGACCGAAAGTCTTTTTCCATGGCCTCACCAAACTCCTCCCACGCCC